TTAATAACTAGTAAACTAAAAACAATTTAAAAAGCAATGAACATAAAATAGTTTTTTCTCCATCCAAAGTAAAAACAAAGAAACAAAAATGTAGTCTGGTCCCCCTAGTACTTCCCTGATGTTTTCTCCTAGTACTCTAATTTTCTTCTAGTCTACTGTACTCTGGTCTCACTGATCTGGTCTCACTGCTATCCTTGCTGTTCCTAGAAATAAAAATAATAGGCTTGATTCTACCCCAGGACATTTGCACTTGCACTTCCCTTTGCAGTACACACACACACATGCACACACACTCGCTTTCTTTGACCCCCATTTTCATCTCCTTATTGCCTTCCTCTGCTTTATTTTTCTTTTGTAATACTTATCAATATATACCATGCTACATGTAGTATATATTCATCTTGCTTTTCTGTCATTCCTACCTAGAATGGATGCTGTAAGAGAAATGAATTGTGCTGGTGGTGGTAGTGGTAATTTTTACACTTGGAAACAATCTCAATTTGTTCCATTGCTTGGTTTGTTTTTGTTGTTGTTCTTGTTGTTGTTGTTGTTGTTGTTGTTGTTTGGGGGGGGGTCATTTTTTTAATGCCAGTGACCAAAACAATGCATATTATATAATAGGCACTCAATACATTTTTACTGACTAAATAAATGAAAACAAAATGCCATGAGGCATATTAGAAGAACAGTACTTAGAACTCAGCATTTTAGGATTTAGTGTAATTGTATGTTACACACAAATTCTAAGCTTGAGCTGTACTTTCATCATGGATAACAAAAGCAAAGAAAAATCCTCATTATCTGGAAAATCAAATAATGCAATTCAGGATATATGATCTCCTGTCTTGTACTTTTTTCTACTTTAGCTTACATATTTTAATTCATTCACTTTCATTTTGATTTATAGTTATAAATCATCTACTGTAACCCTAGGACCTTGTAAGTACTAAAAATGCCATGATTACAAGTCTACCAATTGCCAGTTCAACTCAACCTCTATAATCTTCAGAATTCTCATATGTAACTTGTGACTAATGAGAGCAACTACTCATTGGGTTGTTATGAGTGCTCATAAGATAATGCCAGCAAAGCACTCAGCACTGCCTCTGGTCTATTGGGTTCACACAATTAATGATACTGCTAATTGTAAATAGTGATGATGAAGAAAACATAATGGACATGCCCCTACATTCTTACTGACATTGTATTTTATATAGAAGGTAAGAATTAGTCTAGTTTTAAAAACATACACTGGGAAGCCATGTTCGCAAATAACAAAGTTATTTTAATTATAATAGGGTTCATCAAGGCCCTTCTCAGATTCCCAAATCTCATTGATTTTGCCCAAATTACCACTCTTCCTCCCCCACCCCCATGCACACACATACATCAAGCCATGATTTGGAACATATTTAGAAGCATTAACCGTATGAGATCGCCTTTATTTTTCTTCATTGTCAGGAACGACATTCAGACAAGGATTTCTTTCCCCTGAACATGATTAATACTAATGAAGGTAGTTTTATTTCATTTTGCTGTAGATTCTGCTGCACGTTTGTTGTAATTTCAGGTAATTTTGAAATGCTCATAAATGCAGATGAAGAGGTTTGCTGCCCAGATAAAGAAGGAGGAGTAGTGTTTACTTACAGTGTATTTCTAGCACCTGCATGGCTACCTGAGGTGTGGCATTGAGGGATTCATGGTCTACTCTGCAGATCACTGCCACTCCATCGTCACTCCGGTCCACTCGGAAATCCAGTGTGCTGCTGACAGTGAATGTTTTGCGATTCGCGTCTTCTTCTTTCAAATATTTTACATCTGAAAAGAAAATATAAATTTAAAATTTCTGTGACATTTTCCAAAATATAACAGATTTCATTTACTCAAGACACTAGAAACATCTGCTCCCTATCTTTATCAATATTAAAAAAGCAGATATTTGTTAGTTTAACACTTAATCCATTTCAATTTGATCAAATAAAAATACAGCAACTACAAAAGTAAATTGTAAGAGTTAAATACAGAAATAAAATAAAATGGTGGGGCAGAGCATTTTCATTTCTTTGGCCTCAAGTTTACCTAGATTATAATCAGGGACAAGATACTTTTTTGTACTCCATTTGAAAAATGAAAGCCATATTACAAAAATAGTTTCCCCTTTCTTTTAGATTTAACTTTTACTAAAATATAATCTGTATTCTATGAGCCACAAGCACAGTTGGGAAGACCAAATTTACAACTATTTGCTTATGCCTAAAAGAAAGTACAGTGCATTTGATCTATGACTTTAGCTTGAACAATGTGAAACAAACATAAATTGCTAAAGAATATGTAAGACGAGAAAGTTTGCCATCTTCGGTAAAGAAAAGAAGGAGCACAGTCATCTGAATATTTTGAACATTTATTTGCAGTGAAATTAACATTAAGATGAATGTTCTTTAGATAACCAGGGAATCCATTTCAGCATGAATGAGAATACATTCCTCAAGGTGTAAATTTACTTATCAATATTTAAACTTACTGCACGTGACTCAGATCCTTAGTTAAATGGTTCACTTAAGGATTATTTGTTCTTTGTGGAAAAGAGGTTTAATAGTATGTTCACTTAATTTGTAATTTCTCAAGTCTGAAGGAGCTGATAAGAAAAGGGCAATTTTAACGGATTAGAAATCAAAATGATAGGCTAAGGTTAAGATAGCATTATAAGATCATGAATGTAGTTGAGGGAAAAATGTGTTCATTTTTTTATGCA